CTGTGTAATAGGGCTGCCATGATTGGTCGATTAGTTGATGACTAATCGACTATTAAAATAGTCGATGACTAATTTATTTAGTCTATTTAATTAGATTAGTTTTGTTTTTTGTTCTTTACTTTGTTTTTCTCTCCAAACTGCTTTGACACCTTCCACTGCCACATCTGCCTTTCTGTCCTTGACACACATGCACAGTAGTGGTAACTGGGGTAGGTCATGGACGTCACAAGACATTATACAGACAGGCTCTGGTATTATGGCTAACCGGCAATGGAGCTCAAAACTGTGGGATCATTTTAAGAAAATGAAAGAGAAACCTGTGCAATATCTGCAAGGCAGAACCTGCCTTCCACGGCAAATATTTTTTGTTAGCATATAGCTAAAATCTAACGATGGTTATATAATAGCAGCTGCATTCTGGAGCAATAAGCTGCATGTTTTATATTCAATTAACGTATGATCCAATTAGTCAACTAATCGAATAAAATAATCGGTGATTAGTCGACTATAAAAATAATTGTGGCAGCCCTAAGTCAGATGGATAAATACATCCAGTGATTACATTCTGTGAGTTTTAATAAAATTTGTTCAATGGTTTGTGAGAAATTTTGCTAACAAACAGACACACATGCACATCCGTCTATTATCTATACCTGTTGCTTTCTTTCAGGGTCACGTGGGTCACTGGTGCCCATATCCAGCAGTCACAGTGCGAAGGGCGGTGTACACCCTGGACAGGTCGCAAGTCCATCACAGGGCCACACATAGAGACAAACGAGACAAACAACCATTCACTCACACCTAGGGACAATGTAGAGTTACCAATTAACAGTCAAGTTTTTGATCTGTAAAAAAAAAAAAGAGTACCCAGGGAAAACCCACACATGCATGGAGAGAACATGTAAACTACCCAGAAAGGTCCCCGGCCAAAATTCGATCCGGACACCTTGCTGTAAGGCATCAGCTCTATCAAATGAGCCACCGTACCACCCCCATACCTCCAACACCTTCTCCTTTTAATGGCCAATGATAAAAATACCCAAAAGATTAAACACAACCACAAAAAAGTCCTCCAATAGTTGAGGTTTTATTGTGGATCTTTGATTAAAAAAATATTGTTCAAACACATCAACAAACTCTAGGGTGAGAAGTGAAACAGAGGTGCTCCCTATTAAAAACAGTTCAGTGCTCTCACAGAGGCCTCCGTGGTCTGAACCAGCTCTCAGATCAGCGCATAACCACAAAATGACAACAGATCCTTACATTCAAAGCCTTTAAAGCTTAAATGGGTTGAAGAGAGAGAGAGAGAAAAAATCTTTTAAGATTCCTGACGTGTCTCACCAATACCACACACCTTCACTGGTGGAGGGAGCTCCCCCTCTACCCCCACAGCTTGGCCTCTGAGCTCAAGTAGATGTTGTTAGACAATACAAAGAATTCCACAGGAACACTTCATACGGAGTGGCAGTCCCGGAGATGTAATCCAATGCTATTCTATGGCTTCATGAAGTCCGTGCTGATCGGGTAGGGGGTGGCCAATGGGACATGTCCTGACATAGCAGGGTTCAAACAGCTCCCTCATCCTCTAAAGCAACGCTTTGTTCACAGATCAATCCAAACTTTTTTTTTGCCTGACAAAGCTATAGTGTTTAATAACAGGATTAAAAGCCCCAAATCCCAGCATTGGCACTTAGCTAAAGCAACAGAGGAGAGAGCAGAACGGTGAGACCCGATGCTCCGCCAGCTCGCCCTGCTCCGACAGAGCACGCCCAGGTGGGAACAGGGAGTTTCACTCATACTGACAGCTTCAGGATTGAGCAAAATGTACTTTTAAATGAGCTCCAAGAGGAAGTGAAACTGAATTTACTTTCAGTCAGTCCCTGTTGATGAAGTAATGTTTTTTATATTCAAAATGTCTGATATTTGATGACATCTTGACACTAATGGTGTGTTCACACCAAACGCGATTTCAGCATCAGGAGCAGCAGGTTTACATGCAAAGTCTATGGTGGATGCGCTTCAAGCAGCGTCGGGAAGTGCTGCGGCGCCTCAAGCGTGGTTAGAGCAGTGCGATTTGAACGATGAGCGTTCGACGCGCTGAGGTGCAAATCGCTGAAGTTAAAAAATCTGAACTTTTGCAGCTCGACGCGCCACGTCAACCAATCAGAGAGACTCCACTGTGTGACGTAGTGACATATTTCCCCACGGGACAGTTTACTGAATGATGTCCACTAACCTGAAACAGAYGGAGAGGAGCTCTTTAGCTGAAATCGAGCGCCTGCAGTCGGTGTCCTGACAGGAGATATCCGCACCAATGCGTGGCAGCGGCTCATCAGACTGGACTCGGGACAAAAATAGTCCTGAAAGCGAGCTGTGAGCCTCTACTCTGAATTATCTGGTGAATTAATTATGAATTAATTATCTGATGAGCGTGACATGCTCTTGCGCTCTGTAAATAAAGCAAAGCACTTCCTCGTCCGACGTTAAACAGAGCCCGACAGAGGAGGGAGGGGCGGGGAGGCTCTTGCCGTGCAGTGCTTCAAGAGCTGACATGCGTCTGACCTCAAAGTGCACAAGCGACCAACTTGAGCGTTGGCTGCGATTTTGAAGCTGAAATCGCGTTCGGTGTGAACGCAGCATAAAACCAAAAGATTGGCGATGGAACTGACGTCCACTTTTAAAGATTTAATGCAAAGTTAGTCACAGCACAGTGTATGTGTCTAGTTTATCACTTATACACGATGCGATTCACCACTTAGTTACAAATCAGAGCTATTCAGTTTGAGTTTGATTCAACACACGGTTAGGAGAAATGTGAAAACATCCCATGTCTGTTAATATTTTTACTTTCTAATACAAATCAACCTGATGGTTTTTTTTTTTTACAATTTACTTACTTGAAATAAAAACATGAACAAAAATGAGGTGCAGTAAAAATATAATAAATCTGCCCGGCAGCAGATCGGTTCATTTTCTTTCAGTAACTCTGCAGTGAGCAGCAATATTAATATTCTATATTATGAATATAAGTTAACTTAAAATATCTTTTATAACTGATTATAAATATAAGTTTTTCCTGACAGAAGCTAAGACATGCGAGTGAATTATTGTTTCTATTAAAATTTAACGATTCTTTTTAACAAATTCTTTTTCAGCTAAATAAACATAAACAAACTGATGCATCTATATTTAAGACCAAAACTGCATCTACTACCATTTCAGTAACATCGTGCATCTCATCTTCTCCCAATTCTTCTTTCCTCCCTTTTCTTCCTTCCTTTCCTCTTTTCATACTTTTCTCTCATTCCTTTTTTTCTTTCTCTCCTTTCTGGGCCTTCTTTCTCTGCATCCATCCTTCTTTCTCTCCTGATTTCCCTTCTTCTTTCCTTTGTTTTTTGATCCACCCTACCCTCTTTCCTTCCTTCTTTTAATATTTCCTTCCATCCTAATCCTGCTTTACTTCCCTTCCTCCCTCCTTCCTTCGTTCTACTTATCATGTGTATTTGATTAAAAATCAGGAAATAAATAAAGAGTGGGCTTTTTAATCATTTAAAATGATTGCACTCTTATTTTCTTCCTGAGCCCAAAATAACATTTTCATATCTCAGCAATAATTGCTTATGGCTGCTTTTATAAAAGGGATTTAGAATTTTAAAAAGTCTTGCTGTTTTTAAAGCACTTTTTTATAGTTCTAACATGTTTTATTAGAGAAATGAGGATTGTTCTGTAAGTTTTCACTGAACCTGAGACTAAATGTTGGCAGACTTCTTCACAGCCCACAGCTTCTGTTCTGGATGAGACAGAATGTTCTGATCGAGGTATGGGTGTGTCTCACTGTGACAGCTTTAAAAAATGCAAAAGGAAACAACTTGGATTCAAAAGAGCTGTGTGTGCAATACATCCAGAGAGGTCTTTACCTTGTTCTCGGAGATTTCTAAACAAATTAGATGATCCTTTCCAAACAGGAGGGGTATCAGACAGCATCTTGTCTAATTCCTGTGAAAACACAAGAAAAGCCCAGATCGCTCATTCGTCTCTACGTCCTGGATAATCCGAATGTAAGGCAGTGTTTGCTGGCTTCACAGTAATTACAGCGGTTTTACGCAGATGAAGAGGAGATTCAGCAAAACAGCAGCGAAGAGCTTTGATCACAACTCACCTTTTTTGTGAGGGACTTCCATCCTCTCCTGCCTAAAAAAAACAAACGAAACGAAAACTTTTAGGACAAATTCTGCATGAGGAAGAGAAAGACAGGAAGCAAAAGTGAAAACAGGTGGACAGAAACGTAAGCTGTGTGTTACCATGAACACATTCCAATGACCTATAAAAGGCAAAAGATAAGAAGAAAATGTCATAAAAATACAAAACTTGTGTGGAAAATCATATCGATAACAGCCCTCCTCTGACACCTTTTATAGACTCTGTCTGGGATTTTGATTTTATGATTCCCCGTCTGAAGATATCTTTGACATTAAAGTGTTACTATGAGTGTTTCTTTTTTCCAACATACCCACAGGAACACAGTCTCTCTTTACAACCACAATATAACCATAAAACACTATAATCACCACCTGCTACAAATTAGCAATTAGCGGCTTGAGAATAATCAGAGCTGATGTTTGTTATTTGCCAGCGAAGCCACACCCGACACATTACAGCTGGCTACACACCTCACATCACAGGAAAGATTTTCTTATCGGGACTTTTACGGCATACGCACTAAATAATTCTGTCTCTGTGGGTCCCAGCAAGTTCGTTGCCACATAAATGAGCCTTAAAAGTCAGGTTGCTGGTAAAGATGTCTATCTTTATGCAGGTGTTATGACTGAAACACTTAAAGCTGTGACTTATTGTCCGCTGACACTTCGCAGGCCCTCAGTAACAAAGGTATTCCAGGAAGCAACACCAGAACCCTTTTTAAACTGTTACAAAGCTATTAAAGACCTGAGCTTTCTGTAGATGAAGTAGTGGAGATTTCTCTGATGACTTGACAGGCGTGTAATTAGGCAAATGTAAGCTGACTACAGTATGTGATCTGTACAAAGAGGAGCATCAGTAATAGCTGGCAGCTCTTTGAACGGCATCCATTTGGAGAAGTAGAGTTTAATTCTGGCTAATTTTAAAATAAATAAATAAATAAATAAAATCTTTAGGGTTATTGGCAAGCATCTAGCTGAAGCACTAATAATGAGGAACTGTTAGAAATAGGCAAGCATGATATATCGGTATTACTGATATCGGTAACGGCCGATATTGGTCATTTTTTTAGAATATCGGTATTGGTCTGATATGTAAAACTGGGCCAATATTAACGTCCGATATTGATTTCCCACTTCTTAGCTTTGTGTTTCTGTTTTGGGAGGGGGGATGGTTGATTGAGTGGCATCTGTTTGATCATGATATTGACGCTGCGTAGCCAGGAATAACTGAAGTAGGGAGCAATGTCAGAGGTCTGGCCATTTATTTACGGTATCAAAAAAAGACCCAAGTGTGTTTGTGTGCATATTTTTAATATAATTTGTGTGTTTGTGTAATAACAGTAAATATCGGTTATCAGCCATAACAACAATAATTATATAAAATATTGATATCGGCTGAAATTTTCATATCTGTGCATCTGTAGTTAGAAATTAATGTAAAGGTTTATAAATCTGTGCTGCTTCTCTAAACCGCAACAAAATATTTGATGTTAGATGTTTTAAGATAAAGCAATTAATTTACATTTTACTCCTTTAATACTAGTTTAGCTCATCCATCATGTTAGAATAAAAGCTATCTACAACACCACACAAAACCAACTTTGAAAGATTTGAACTATCCCTTTTAAAGAAAGAGGGCGGCATGTTGACTTCTGTCTCCTCTCCTGCACACGATCATGGCCTTTATTTTAAACAGGAAATAAATAATTGCATCTAATTTTAGAAAAGAGTAATATTGTAAAGCTATGTGAATTAGCAAAAATGTTATCTGAGATGTACTTATTTTTACTTTTTAATAAGGGCAAAGTCTAGTTTGTTTAGGTAAAGGAAGCAGGACCTAAATCTGGTACTGGAACAAGTTTACAGGGACGCCGTACCCCATCTGGCTACAACTGTGTGTTTCTGACGAGTGTCTCCCACCACGGGGAGTTATGAGAACCAACATGTTTGCTTTCACATCATGAGGGAAACTGCACAACACTTGGCTGAGGGTCCGCACAGCCACGTCACTTCTGCACAACATTAACCATCAACAACAGAGGAGGTCTTTTTGTAAGTGGAGCTGCGTGTTCTGGATCATTGGTTGAGTTTTTAAAAAGATGGTTCAAACAAACCAACAATAATTTAGAAGAAGGAATAAAAGCAGCCAAGAGTCTTATGACAGATCAGTCCCCTTCGTGTTGCGCATATTCAAGAAAAGAACACGTTAAAGCTTCTACTTTATAAGTAAGTAAAATTTTATTTATAAAGCGCCTTTCACAGAAATATATTCACAAGGTGCTGTACAATCATTAACAGTATAAAAATGATGGAATGAATAAGAGGAAACAGAAAAACATTGAGTGTGAGTGTGTGTGTGTGTGTGTGTGTGTGTGTGTGTGTGTGTGTGTGTGTGTGT